AATACAGTAAGCCATTACACACGATGTTATAGATTAATATCTAGTGAAAAAAGGTCAGTTACAAAACATTGCTTGCTATATGATTATGTGGGTATGTGTACTGGCTAGAATGCACGGATAAATAAGCATAAAATCATTAACTCCCATTATCTCTGGGTGGTGGGATTGTGAGCCTGTTTTACTCTTTATTTTCTATATTTGTAATTTTTCTGGAATGAACAGGGACTTAATTTTTTAAAAAAGAAGAAAAAATACTTTAAAAAAAAAAAAAAAAAGCAAAGAGGTTTCCAGTACACAGGAAGAGAGGATTTCCCAAATACGCATTTCTTTTTTTTTTTTTTTTTTGTCTTTTTTGAGACCGGCCGCACCGCGCTCAGCCAGTGAGCGGTGACTGGCCATCCCCATATAGGATCCGAACCCGCATGCGCCACAGGCTCGGCCCCCAAATATGCACTTCTAAGACAGCATCTTTACCTTGAACTTGTGCTTCAGCACATTAGCCTTTATCTCTCTAGACAAAATCTGTCCACCTATATGATATCTGGAAATCAGCAGCATATCACTAGTAAAAAGGATTAATTTCCTTGGACTTAGAAGAAGTACCTGGACAGTTAAGGCTGTTACAGCACCTGAGTATCAGAGGGGTTTCAGGGAATGTTACCTCTGTCCTGTGGCTAAAGGAATCTAACAGCACCCCACCATTTATTTTTCTTCTTCATTCTCCCAAAGCTGCAGCAGGTAAAGCTTCTGATTGAATTCCATCTTGATATCATTAAATATTCATAAAGGCCAATTAGAAGAGAGAGAAAGAGGCCACAAGGCAGCCCCTTCCATCATCCTGTCAGAGGCTGGCTGGCTGACTGTCAGGCACAGGCCAGCCAGTGGTCAATACGGCCATGATCTTTCTGCACTCTCCTCTGGGGTCACTTTCCACCATCCCAGCAAGGGACTGGACCGGCAGGGAATGAGAAGCAGGGGCCAGGCGAGGAGAGACAGTTCATATTCTGACAGCAAGGTGCTTAGTGTGTAGAATGCAAAATGCAAATGCTGGGAAGCATCCTCAATCACCACTGGAATGGAAATCTTTCCCTAATGAGTGATGACGGTGGGAGAGAGCTGATTGCACTGAAGAAAAACTGCTTAAGATTCATAATCAATCAAGCAAGTTAATTTTAACCTTTTGTAACTAAGCCACCACGTTTTAGTTTCCTTTATTGGCCAAATGGAGCTCATCTCTTCCTACCTCTTTCCTTCCACCTACCTCGGACAGTAGGTGCCAGTGGAAACCCCAAGAGAGACTTGAGCAGGAAGGTAGAGTGGAAGGAGCCAAGAAATCTCATCTTAAGGGTCAGAGAGGGTGAGGGACATGACAGTGTTACACAGTCAGTGGCAGTGCAACCAGCTTTCTGTCTGCAAGCCACTGAAGGATACTAGGAAAGGACATGCACTAGAAGTCCAGAGTTCTAGGTCTGTGACCCAGTTTTGCTATCATGAGCTGTGTGATACTGGAATAAAGTATTTATACTATTTTCAGGCTGCAGATTCCATATTCAAAAATGGCAATAAACATGACAATAATAATGTCTTCCTCCCTTCGTGTGAGGCTTTAATAATAAAAAGGATATAAAAGTGCTTTGAAAATGGTAAAGCACCCTGTTATTAGTGTGCATCTCCTTTCCATTTTCCAGGCCCCTAGGTTCTCCCCCTCCTAAAAACATTCCATGCAGGTGTCGGCAAGATCTTTCTAAAGCCCAGATTGCACTTTGCCATTTCCCTCTTTAACCTTTCCCACACTGTCCTTTGGATGAAGTATGAGACTCCTTTCCATTTTCCAGGCCCCTAGGTTCTCCCCCTCCTAAAAACATTCCATGCAGGTGTTGGCAAGATCTTTCTAAAGCCCAGATTGCACTTTGCCATTTCCCTCTTTAACCTTTCCCACACTGTCCTTTGGATGAAGTATGAACTCTAAGCCTGGCATTCAGGAACCTTCACAGTTTGGGAACTTGTCTTCTCTTCTCTGAGCTTCAGTTTCCTGGCTCATAAAATGAAAAAAACTAATACCTACCTCAGAAGGCTGTGATGCTAATAAGAATTCACATCTGTAAAGTGATCAGCATGGTGCCTGGCACATCGTATCTGGTCTGTATAGCTTAATTATTATCATATTAAGTTTCACAACAACCTTGGGAGATGGGTCGAGGAGAGGTCATTTTTACCCTGACTTTACAAATGAGACATGAAAAGCCCTGAGAGGTGAAGGATTTGATCATGGCCATACTGCTAGAATTCAAAGCTGAGATTTCACTTTTGAGCTTTTGGCTCTTGGAGGTAGGGGATGCGGTGAGAGGTGGGGACTGGGTGGCAGGGGGAGCACCACCTCAGCTTGCCATCATGGAATAATTCTTTTCTAAGATACATCTGCCTAGTCCAAAAGGGATATAATACTGTTTTATTTTCTAACATGATCACAAGACCTTAGGCCATAGGCCTGTCCAACTTCTCTTACCTCATTTGTAGCTAGCGGAAAATTAAATGAAGCAAAGAGTGCTTTCGTTATGTTAAACAGTTGCTTGAATAAAAAGGAAAGCTGATATTCCCAAACAATAAGTTAGTAGTTTTTTTTTATTGCTCAGCTTCTCCTCTGGGCCCTATTTCAAGGCAGCAAAGAGAAATCGAGTGGAAATGCATGAAATGTTGCAAACAAATGTATCACTCAAAGGTGATTTCCTCAAGATGCCAGACTCCATGTGGGATGGTCTGGTGAGCCATTGTCAGGGAGTCAGGAAAACTGCATCTGGTCTCCCTTGGCTTAACCTTGTCTTTTCCAGTCTCCTTGCCCATCATCTGAGGCCTACCCCAAGTCCCAGACCCACCTTGATATGAAGAAAAAGGGTGAGTATTTCAAAAATTCTTCTTCATTCATTCATTTAACAAATATTTATTGAGAATCTAGTATGTGCCAATCTTTTGGCTAAAGTACAAAGATAGGAAAACAGACACAGATTTTGCCATCACATATTTACAGTCTACTGAGGGAAGACAGACTTTAAAAAATAAATCAAATATTCACATATATGATTTCACCCTTTATTAAATGTCATCAAGGGAAAATATTAAGAACTATAAAATATTTAACAGGAGCATCTAATGTAGTTAGAGATGGGGGTGAGGTCAGGAAAGATTTTTATGATGGGGAGACATCTGGCCTGAGAGATATTTGGAGTTAGGAAGGCAGGAGGGATGCGAGTGGAGTGGGATTAGAGTTCTCCATTCAGAGCGGATAGCACATGTAAAGGCTCTGAGGTGAGAGGCAGCAATGGCATATTCAAGGAGTTGAAAGAGACCAGATTGCCTGGGGTGCAGAGATGGGGACCAAAAAATATGAGGCTGGAGAGGACAGAAGGGTCCAGATCCCATAGGCCTTCTAGGCCAGGGCATATAATCTGAAAAACAAGGTATACTAAGCATGAGGGAAGCCATTAAAAAGTTTTAAAAAGGGGATAAGCATGATCATATTTATATTGCAAAAAAAATCACCAAATCTTAGAAGGCTTTGCTGTAAAAGAATGTCATTCTATTTATGAAATTCATATGAAACTACAAAGAACCTAGAATACCCAAAATAACTTTGAAAAATAACAAAGTTGAAATCCTCACACCTGATTTCAAGACTTTTTATAGACCTACAGTAATCAAGACAGTGTGGTTTTGGCATAATTAGATCCATGGAACAGAATAGAGAGTCCAAAATAAACCCACACATATATAGACAACTAATTTTCAACAAAGATATGAAAGTAATTTGGTGGAGAAAGAACAGTATTTCCAACAAAAGGATCTAGGACAATCAGTTATACATATGGGGAAAAAAAAAGAGTTCTGATCTATATATCACACCACTAAATTAACTCAAAATGGATCATGGACCTAAATATGAAACCTGAAACTCTAAAACTTCTAGAAGTAAACATAGATGACCTTTGTAACCTTGGATTAGGTAAAGATTTCTTAGACACAACACCAAAATCACTACACATAAAAGAGCAAAATGATAATTTGGACTGGACTGAAATGTTAAAGCTTCTCATTTAAAGAACTTTTAAGATAATTAAAAGACAAGCCACAGATTGGCAGAAAGTATTTGCAAATAATACATCTAATAAAGGGTTTGAATCCAGAATATGTAACTCTCAAAATTCAGTAATGAGAAAACAAGCAACCTGATAAAAAAAAAAAAAAGTGGGCAAAAAGATCTGTACAGACACTTCACCAAAGGAAATTTGCCGATGGCAAATAAACATATGAAAAACACTCAATATCATTAGTCGTTAGGGAAATGCAAATTGAAACTACAGAGAGATACTACCGTATACCTATTAGAATCACTAAATTAAAGACTGCCCGTATCAAGTGTTGGTGAGGAATGGAGAGCTGGAACTCTCACACATTGCTGGTGGGAGTGTGAGATGTTTTGGTCACTTTGGAAAACAATTTGGCAGTTTCTTATTAAGTTAAACGCACACTTACTAAAATGACCCAGCAATCACATGCCTAGATACTGATCCTGATGGTCACACAAAAACCTGTACATGAATGTTTATAACTGCTTTATTCATAGTGACTCATAACTGGAAACAACCCAATCCACAGGTGAATGGATACACACACGGTGGCACATCCACACAGTGGGATGCCACTCTGCAGTAGCATCCATGACCACATGGGTCAGTCTCAAAGGCATTATGCTGAGTTAAAGAAACTAGTCTCAAAAGATTCCATATCAAATGATTCCTCTTCTGTGACATTCTGGAAAAGGCAAAATTGTAGTGATGGATAACAGACGAGAAGTTGTGGGGAAGGGGCTGATGGATGGTAAACAGCTGGAGGGTGTTCTTTGAGATGATGGAACTGTTCAGAATACTGGCTATGGTGGTGGTTACACAAATATTTATGTGTTAAAATTCAAAGAACTCCACACCAGAAAGAAGAAAGAAAAAGGTCAATAAAAAACGAGGGTCAGAGAGGTGAAACTGCCCAAGGCCCTACCCTAGTCATTGGCCCTGCTGAGATCTGCCCATTGGTCTGGGTGACTCTTAAGCATCACTTTATAACTGGGTGAACCTTTGGTTCAGTTCTGCATTTTGAGGGCTTTGCACTCTGGGATCCCGAACAGAGTGTGGGACCTGGGGCTGTCAGGGCTGAGTATCTGGATTTAAGGTGCTTTATGCCGAACACTGAATCCCCATTCCCTCCTGATCCCCCGTCAACCAGCTAGAGGGGTGACTCACACAGTCTTGGCAGCTGGTGGCCTTTTTCTTTTCAGCAGACTAGCAGGACAGAGTGGAGGGTTATGGAGATTTATCTTTTGGCTTCTCTTTTACCCAAACAGACTGGATCAACCAGGTGTACCTGCCAGAAAACCACGCTCGGCTCAGGGCTGCCCATACCTATGTCTCGGAAGAGCTCAGGACCCTGGGCATCCCCTTCCTGAGGCGTGGGGCAGGCTTCTTCATCTGGGTTGACTTGAGAAAGGTGATGTAGGTGGGGGTGTGGGGAGGGAAGGAGTTTCGAGCCTGCCTCCAGCAGGTGAAGGGCAGGGAGGGTCTCATCTATATCCTGAACCCATTTATCCTCCCAGTACCTGCCCAAGAACACCTTTGAGGAGGAAATGCTGCTTTGGCGCCGCTTCTTGGACAACAAGGTGCTGCTGTCCTTCGGCAAGGCCTTTGAGTGTAAAGAGCCTGGCTGGTTCCGCTTTGTCTTCTCAGACAAGGCCCACCGGCTTTGCCTGGGTGAGCAGCCTCCTTCCCTGCCCCGCCCCTGGCCACATCCTGCATTCTTCCCTCCCCCGGGATAGCCCCGCCCACCGGCCAGCAGTGCTGACCACACCCTCACTTCCCCTTCCCAGGGATGCAGAGGGTCCGGCAGGTGCTTGAGGGCAAATCCCAAGTGGCAGAAGACCCCCCTCCCTGTCAGACCCAGGAACCAGGTGACCAGCACCGGTGAGCTGGTCAGACATCAGGTGGTGGTGTCTCCAGTGGTGTCATCAGGGCTAAGTCTCTTGTTCAGCATTTGTCCCACCCCTAGAGGCATGTCCTGAACACTCCCTACCTTTCATGCCTCATCCAGCACCATAATTCCTTCTTTCCTCACACATTTTCTTGAGTATCTATGGAGTGAAACCAGTGCTGGGCAATGGGGAGATAAAGACAGATGAGATACAGTCACTGACCTCAGGGAACTCCAGATGTGTTACTAAACAAGTTGCTCCCATTCCCTGATTTCCCCACCTGTAAAATAATGTCTGAGGTGCTTTTTCCTTGATAATCTCATGCTTCTGAGATGAGAATAAAGTGAGTGACAGAAAGGCAAAGGTGAGTAAGTTGTAGATGACAAGGAATTAAATGCCTGAAAGAAAATATGCAGCATTGATAAAATAGTCTCAATTATTGCTTAGCTAATTAATTTAACTTCTCTACAAAGGAGACAACTATGGTTGTGCTGAGATGCATAGCCATGGGTTGCCGTCATTGCTCAAAGTGTAGTATTTGTGTTCAAAGTGAACCATGAGTAGCACCCATGAGTAGCATGGATCACATGAGTAGCATGTCAAATGTTAACTTGAAAGTTTAAGAAACAAAGTTTCTGAGATGCATGGCCTATTTCTTCGGGAAGCACTTTAGTGCAAAGGTTAAGAATAAAGCTTTAGAGTTGTCTTCCTGTATTCAAATACCAGCTCAACAAATTTCTTGTTGTGCAAACTTGGGCAAACAAATTTGCCTTTCTGTGCCTCTGTTTCCTTCTCTGTAAAAGGGGAATATAATACAACTTATGGCATAGAGTAATTGTGAGTATTAAGTTAATAAATGTTAGTATGAGGTAAGGGCTAAATAAATATTAGCCATAATTATTATCCAACAAATACCTAGGACCAGTTCTGATTTCCCAAAGAAGAAATGTAGAATTACCAGATAGGAACACTTCAGTGCAACAATTATTACCAAACCTAACATTCATGTTTTGTTGTTTCCATTGGCTCATGCTTCTTCCTACTGTCTTAAGGTAGGGAGATGTTCCCAGCCTCCAGTTGCAAGGCACATACTCTCTTCAATAATAAACGTGATCACATTCCCTGGAGGATTTTCTGTTTCATAATTATAATTACAATCCAATAGCTTAATTTAATTAGACTCTTCAATCTACCCAAAGGGCTGATGCAGAAGAGAATAGGCAATCATGGGTCTGGGTAACTAACAAGGAATCTTTTGGAGGTAGAATCATAAATTGTGGGTTACTCATTTGCTGCAAATCCCTGTCTTTCTCAAGGGTCCTCAAGCTTCAGAATCTTTCGTCCTACTAGCCACTCTATTAAAGACTCTCACAGCAAGAGTGAAGCAGAAAGCAACCTGTTTTCAAGAAGTTCATCTCTATGCTTGCAGGCTTTCTATTTTTTACATTTGCCACTTATGGTAAAAACTTGGGGACATAAACACTGCAACAATGTTTGGTAACAAATTTACTGCAATGTCTTTAAAACACAGCCAACCAAAGTAATATAAAAATTCTTGAAAATAAATATTAATTTGAGTGCAACTGAGAAACACTACTACAATAAAGAAAAAATTAAGATGTGGAATCAGTGTACCTCATTTAGATGTTTTTTGGAATTGAGGGAAATAATAACAGCTATCATTTGTTTAAGAACTTCCTGTTCTTAGAACTTTACACAGGTGCTTTGAAGTAAGTATTAGTGTTATCCTCTTTTTACAGATGGGAAACTAAGACAGAGAATGGTTAAGTAATTTGCCCAGGTACAGACCTCAGTGATTGTAAGTAAACTTCAGGCCCACCTAGTCTCTCTGTGTCCCACAGATGATGAATGTACCCCTGGTTGGAATCAATTATTCTAAATATTACCCCAAAATCAGACATGGTAACACCACACAGCAACAATTACCCAACCCCTCCAGTTTTCACTTTGTGACAATACTTAGCAGTATTCATTCATTCATTTGAAAAATACTGATTGAGACCACTTACTATGTGCCAGACATTCTTGCAGGCACTGGGGATAAAAGAGAAGAAAAGTTACAAAAACCCCTGCCCTTATGGAGCATGCTTTTAATCAAGGGAAATAGACAATACACAGAACAAGTAAAATACTCATATATAGTATTTTAAGGTAGTGATAAGTGCCCTGAAGAAAAATCAAACATGGAAGAATGATAACATGTGTTTAGAGATGAACTTAAAATTTTAGATAGGGTAGGTAGGGGAGGCATCACTGAGAAGGAGACACAACATTAAGAACCTAAAGGAGGGGAGGGAACCATGGAGATATTAGGAATGTTAATATTAAGGAATAAACTTTATCTTCCTGTTCACCCATAAAAACAAATAAAGCATGTTATTTTACCTAGAAAGTCAAACTCTTTGAGCTCGGGGAGAGGTAAATCAAGTACTGATCTTCACTGTGTGCCAGGCATCATGGTAGGCACAGTGAAGGATGCAAAGATAAAAGACAGAGTCCCTGCTTTCAGCAAGCTTGGGTTGTCAGGGAGAAAAGCATGGGAGAGATAGCTGTATTATATAAGAACAGGGGCAGTAAGTTTTTAAATACAGGAACAAGCAATTCTACACAGGAAATTATTATGCCAAGTTGGAAAGGAATTGGGAGTGAAGGTGGCAGACTCGAGATGGGCCCACAGGTCAGAGAAACACATGGAACAGCATATTTAGAGACACAGATGTGGGAAACAGAGAGAGGTTGGTGATGACATTGCAAGCAGTTTTGTGAGGAAGGTAAAAAGAGGTAAGAATTTATCCGATTTGGTTATTTGTTGTCATGAAAACAAAGAAATCAAATGATTTGGATTAATTGGCTTATGTGATTAGGCAGCTTAATGCAATATAAAATCATTTTAAATCCATAGAGGAATGATGTGAGCTATAAGAAAGTAAATAAGTACATTCTGCACCAGATGATTGAAGAAGACAAGTCTTCTGTGACAACAAAAACTGCTCCACTGTCTGCATATCTGAGCTGAGTCTACATGGACTGTGAAAGCCAGTCAGGCCTTCAGAGCTGTGGGATATGGTCCTGAGGTCAGAGGACCAGACTGGTGACGCACCAGATGATTGAAGAAGACAAGTCTTCTGTGACAACAAAAACTGCTCCACTGTCTGCATGTCTGAGCTGAGTCTACATGGACTGTGAAAGCCAGTCAGGCCTTCAGAGCTGTGGGATATGGTCCTGAGGTCAGAGGACCAGACTGGTGACATCTGGGATGCCACTTAACCTTTCTATATCTTGCTTCCCTAGCTGGTAATCCCCACACAACCTGCTTTTCAGGGCCATGCGTGGCTTCAGTGTGGTCTTGCATGTGGAAAATCAAGTACTGATCTTGTAAGCTCTGAAGCACTGACTGCTTTACCATCAATATTCACCTTAGCACCCACATGTAACTGCACCTTTCCTTGTTACATTTAAGTTAAAAGAAGAAGGAGGAGGAGGAGGAGGAGGAGGAGNAGGAGAAGGAGAAGGAGAAGGAGAAGGAGAAGGAGAAGAAGAAGAAGAAGAAGAAGAAGAAGAAGAAGAAGAAGGAGAAGGAGAAGGAGAAGGAGAAGGAGAAGGAGAAGGAGAAGAAGAAGAAAGTTAGGGATTAGAGGGAATTTTTCTACTTCCTATATTTCCTATGTTTAGCTATATGGCTTTGGGAAAATCTTAGAACCTCTGTTTTCTCATTTAGAGGACAGAGCCTAATAGAAAGATTGTGATAAGGTTTGAATAAAATAATGCAGCTGCCATCCTATGGTACTCAATAAAGGAGCACTTTTTTTTTTTTTTTTTCCTGACTGGTAAGGGGATTGCAACCCTCGGCTCGGTGCCGTCTGCACCACGCTGAGCCAGTGAGTGCACCAGCCACCCCTATATAGGATCCAAACCCATGGCCTCGGTGCTACCAGTGCTGCACTCTCCCGAGTGAGCCATGGGGCCGGCCCTAAATGAGCACTTCTGTTTACTTTTTGAGAACTCCAAAGGACCATACATTTCCCTCAAAAGTAGTGGGTACAATTTATAAGACTGTGTTCCATTCTGAAGCAAGCCAGGGGAGAAAGGCCTAGTGGTAAGATGCCTTGAAGGTTAGTATCAACCAGACTGAAGGAAGCTCTAGTCTACACAATTCCTCATTCCCCAGCCTAGAGGCTCTTACCCTAAAATGATGCATATCTGCAATTTTTTGAAGCTCCCGACCCTTATTCAGGTTAGCTTAGATAACTTTTACTGGGTATGTACTATGTTCCAGTCACAATACAGTTGCTAACATACAAAGTTAAAATCCTCATGATGTAGTTGGGAATACATTGTGATAAATGCAGGGTGCTGGGACCCAGAGGAGAACCACATAATCTAGCCTGAGGAGTCCTGGAAGAGATCTCAGAAGAGTTGAAACCAATGCTGAATTTTGAAGTGTGAGTTTGTCAGGTCAAGAAGAGTAGGGTAAAGATACAATTATTTGAGCAGAAGTTAAAAGAACAGTGTGTGTGTGTGTGTGTGTGTGTGTGCGCGTGCGCGTGTGCACATCTGTGTGTATGTGTGTGTAAGGAGTATCTTTAGAAGGCAAGGTTAGGGAAAGTTGACTTTCAAAAATTTTCTGTGACACTTCTAAGCTCCTTCTTCTCTCTACCTCCAAAGTTTGAACAGTTCTCCACAACAATTCCTTGAACTTGTTAAGACAAGTGAACAGATATGATGTAATGAGGGGGGGAGGAAGGGAGAAAGAGAAACAGGTAAAAGGACATGAAAATCAACTACAATGTATATTGAGAAGTTAAAATTAAAAAATATATACATATATATAAAACAAAGTTTGAACAGTCCTCTTTTAAAAGCCACTCCTCTTGTTACTCCCTGTTTTTCTGGGGTAGGGCAGGGGGAAGGCAATAACTTGGTCCTGATTTCACAAGAGAATAGATTCAGCCAAATTGTGATTCACTTCTCCAGGCT